ATGGCGGGCACTGTTTCATACCGACCACTTAGCGGAAAGAGTAACCGGAACGAGCTCCGGAATGATCAAAACATGCCAGCAACAAACGACTTCTGGCTTTTGCCAGTGTTTGCCAGCTTGCATTACCTCACCGAAGTTTACCAGCTCGCTAATCTACCACGGGCCCGCCCTCGTTTGTTAACACTCAAACATTGTTTACTGCGCTAAACGGAAAGCGTTCGCTTCTCTTCATCCCTTCCTTCCGAATTAAGGCTCGCTGTTCTGGGTCTCAGTCAGTTCCGAGAAGCGAGCCTCGCCCAGCCGGATACCCAGCCGTTCAGAGGATACCTGGTTCAAACGCCATCTCGGAGTCGCTTGAGAATCTCAGCCAGACCAGGGAATTCCCCTCGCTTCTGGGTCACCGAAAGGTCAAAAGTTACTGAGCTGGAAGTAGACAGACTCAGATACGTCCTGTAAAAGGTCCGACCCGGCTCTAGCGAAGGAACTCTAGATTGGTCCACTGAGAGTTTGTGGACTCGAGTTGACGGCGAGTACTTTACGCCGGCTCCGCGAGCTCTAGTTTGTCAAGCCAAATTGGTACAGCAGAGTTTGTCAAGTCGAGTTCCACTAGCAAGCAAGCTGCCGCCGCCGCCGCCATGGGAGGAGGCAACGAGTCTGGCAACGTCTAGTCGCTCAGTAGATCCGCGTCGTCATACAACAGGCGAAGTGAGCAGCTACGTACGTCTCCGCATTCCTGTTCTCGCCGCCGATACACGTCACCACTCAAGCACGACGAAGATAAGCTGCCGTTCCCATTGAGAGAACTTGTAGCCGAAATCCATCGGAGCAGGCCCAGCATCTGCTCTCCTGCCTAGGGGTGCCGATCGATTGTCGGGCCGCCTGACTGACTGATTGGCTGATCGAGTGGAAGAGTCGGTGAATGAATGACTATTCAAATAGAATAGGAACTGTTCCGTTCGACTCCACTGGAGCCATTTACAGAAATCGGAACAATCAGCTGACATCATTGTCGACAACTTCTGGATAGTTCATGTCCGTGAATCTTCTAAAAGTGATTCAACATTCACTTCACAACGTTCTCGAATCAATGCATGCTCACGCTTGCGTGGAACAATGGGTGCACCGATCAAGCGGAATGATGAGCTTATAGTTCACCTAAAAAGAGCAGTCTCCATGAAACGAAATAGATCTCGAAGGCCTGCCGATCGTCTCCCGATGTCGCAGCCTCGAATCCGAGGATATTCCGATATGTACCTGCAGGCTCAGGTGGCACGAGTCGGGAAGGAATCATTACGCGTGCCGCAAGGACAGTGAGCGGACCTCCTCGGCACGGGGAAGCACCGACTGACTGAGCGAGATCCTAATTATATGAAGTCCGGGACAGTCTCATAGGACTCGCGTACGTAGGTACAATGAGACGGATCGAACGAGCCGCGGCATGAGGGAGAGCTATCATAAACAACATACAAGCCCAACGTCGTTCGGGGGCTCACCCGGATCTCGATTTACCTGCGAGCTGACTCGCCGACCCGTCGGACGACCAGTAAGCCCAGCGAGCCAAACTCCTCCAGGATAAGAGCGGGACAAAGATAGCGTGGTTGCCCCTCCGCTTGTTTGGACGCTCGTCTGGTCGGTCGTTGTGGCTTAATTTGGCCGGGCCGCTTCTGACGCGGGGCGGGCAGACGGCGACGACAGTTGCATCTGACGACGTGTAAGTTCGCGTAGGAGGTACGCGAGGCGAGCAGCCGAGCTCACTGGGGGATCGCGATGACTTCCTATAGGAACACGCAGAGCAGCAGTGGAGGAGCCCTGTCCAGAGATTTCCACGGAAACTCTGAAGGGATGATCGGGTTCACCCCGCGTGACGAACCAGTTCCCCTATCAGCAAAGCGATTCCTCTTTCAGCACGTCTTGAGGTCCTTCTGCAGGCCGAGCAGCTGAACTGGGAATAGGGAAAAATTTGGGCGAGATTGAGTTCCGAATGTGTTTTCCCCCTTAATGAAATTCCGAAGATATCTTCTTCCTTCGCTGAAGTTCCGAAGAGATTTTCCCCCTTGCTGAAGTCTGAAGTTCCAAAGATATTTTCTTCCTTGCTAGAGCTCCGAAGATATTTTTTTTCCCTTGCTGAAGTGCCGAAGATACTTCACCCTTGCTGAAGTTCCGAAGATACTTCACCCTTGCTGAAGTTCCGAAGATACTTCACCCTTGCTGAAGTTCTGCAAAGATTTCCCCCTCGCTGAAGTTTCCCGGTGCAGTTCGCGGACTTCCGTGTCACAGCGCTTCCATTCAGATATGCGTCGAACGTGACGATTTCGGAAATATATTGACAATATATTCGGTCGGGTTCTCCGACACGTCGATCTAGACCGCGGAGCTCTATTTTCTAACAGCGCTCTCGATCGCGTGTAGGGTTGCTCGCAATCCACCGCCACTTTCACCCTCGTTGCCAAGAGTGATGACACGCCCATAAAATACGGAGGACGTGATACTATAAAAAGTTCCAGCCTCGTATGAAGCATAAAGGATTTAAGAGATGCATGGAACGATTGGCGAAGAATGCATAATTGCCGAGGCTTCGGAAATGGCGGATCCTCATTGAGGGGTCGAGCGGATATGATCTGATCGAAGAGGATAAATGAAGAATCGATCGAAAACGTGGAGAGTCAAACAATGCAACCGATCGCATGCACGGAACTGCAGCCTCGACTGGCGCACAGCCATCTGCTGTCGAGTTTGTCTGAGCTCGGCGATTCAATTTGGGCTTTTGGCGTGAAGTGAATTCAATTTAGTCGTGAGCTATGCCATTCGTCTTGTTGCGTTGATGCCTTGCGCGGAGCGATGTTTTTTGCTCGCCGGAAGCGAGCGCATTTTTCGAGAGCGAGCCGATGCTGCTGCATGAGCGAGGGAGAATAAGGAGGAAAAATATCGCGTCTCCGCTGCTACTGTAATTTGTCTTCGTTGTGCCTCGGGTAGAACGGGAAGCGCTCACGAGTCCCATGAGTTACTCTCTGTTGTGAACTGGAAAGGTCAAATACAATTCACAGCTACAGTCGACGTCCTCGAGGATAACGACACGTTGCCGGATGTCGAATCCGATGTCGACGGGGGCAGCGTCTGGTAGATGATCAGCTCGAACGAGGAAGCCGTGGAGAGAAAGTCACGAACGCCAGATAAGATTCGCTCCAATTCGTTTTGCATGCTTTAGCACGACGCGTGCGAGAAATGGAGAGAAATTCGGGGAGAAATCCCAAAGACCGCGGCCGTACGGAGCGAGGCACCGCCATTGATCGAGTTCCTCCACACGCGTCACCTCGGAACGGGGTCGAGTGCCTGGGAGCAAATTAGGGAGGGTCCTCATTCGAAACTCAACCATCGATCGAGCAATCGCGTCGAACTCGAACAAGAAAAAATCCGCCCACGGCCTGGAATGACAGCCTTTCCCGATCGAGATCGCTACTTTCGGAACTTGCTTGCCCTTTTCCACGACGTTCCTCGCGCTTGCAGGAGGAGAACCGAGACCCCGAATGAGATCCGTTTAATTCTCGGAGGCGCTGGCTGGAGAGAAAAAGAAACACACGTTCAGGAACAAACAGCTCCCGAACAATCCAGGTCATACCTCAAGAGACCTCTCAAAACAGCAAGGTCACACTTACGTACATACGTTATTTCGGAGGGTCTTATGCTGCACGTCGTAAGACGAAGATTCGCTCGAAAGGATGCAGCTCAGACATAAATTCCGTTGTCTTTTCCCCCCTCCGTAAGTATGTTCCCACATCTCGAGATTCGGCTTATCCCGAGCGATGGAAGTTTTCCTTCAGTGAGCGAAGTGAAATGGAGCCCGGCAGCTGCAAGCGAGCATTACTCCCGGGGACTTTTGAATATTCAATTCGCGTCCATGGATTATCGTTATTCGTTCGATTGAATTCCTCTGTGAGTGCAGTTTGGGAGGACGCCATCTGTAATCCGTTGCTTGGAGTCAGGCTTTCCCTCCTGAACCTACTTTGCAAGTCGTCCCTCACTGGTGCTCAGTCCGAAAAATGCTGCGTGTGTCAAAAGTGGTGTGACCTTCTTGTTAGCTGCCGCTGGTGCTGCTGCTGTTCCTGAGGATTCATTTGCTGTTCCAACAGAAGAATGTTCTGTCGTGCGCAGAACGAACACAAAACAAACAGACAAGTTGAGTACGGGGGCCGGCGAAAGCAGCTTTCCCGGAGAGACTTTTCTCGATTCTGCGAGCAATGTATTTCCGTACACTCGCCGTCATTTCTTCCAGACCGGGTCGCAGTTGTCTTCTTGACCGAAACTTGTGCTCTTACCCGTCGCGGCTGGAGTTTGTTCCGTACGATTTTCTGAGCTCCTTGTTCTGAGCTGATCGTGACTGTTTCGCTGTCCCTGTCACATGCGCTCCAGACGAGATATTGGAAGCGCGCAGAGATGAGATTACGAGAGCTACCGTCTGAGGGCGCCCTCGGGGTTTCCCTCCGAAAGACGGGATGTATCCGTGATTCAGCAGCGTAGTGATCTGGGAATCTAGTGTGCGTTATTTATGTCCTGGGAATACTATGCCAATGACTAATAAATATCTGTAACTTCGGGTCCCCCGGTAACCGCGTCAGGTACTGTCGGTCTCGCGTGACGTCACCACTGCGACGTCGCGGCGCAGCCATCTAGAGGCGCGCGAACAGAGAAAAACAGAAGGAAAAACAGAGGTAGCGGAACGAGCAGCTCGTATCCAGAGCCCCAGTATCTTTGGCGCTTCGCGACCTCAAACGTTCAACGAGCCGAAGCTCGGAAATCCTGACGTGTTGCCTAGGGCCCGAGTTCAGTTCGCGACTATAACCAGGTCCCCTAATTGCATGCAACACAATTTGGTGTCAGATCAAAAGTGAAAGTGCAAATCATCATCGCGAGCCGCATCCACCAAAGCTCGGAAAGCGCCATCAAAATCCGTCGTTGAGGAGCCAAAGCGGTAAATCTATCAAAAGAAGCTCACGAGGGGCAGGATGGCGCCGATCGTTGCGTTGAAAAGCGACGCTCGTGTCGATACATATGAAGAACTAACCTCGAAGAGAACTCACATCCGGGCGAGAGTAACCGTTCACTGCAAGACAGTGGCGGAGTGGAAAAAGTCAACCAATGACCCATCGATGGAAGACATCCTGTTCGAGGATCGAACGCTGTCTGATCTCCAGGGTCGACTAAACCATCTCAACGAGCTGATAAGTGCGCTCATGAAGACCCCACAGACAGCGGATGAGCAGAAGCAGCGTGACGAGTGGAACGAGAGGTGCATCGAGTACGAAGAAAAAACATCTCGGGCTCTCAGTGTGGTGGAAGTCTTCAGAGAGAGAATCAGGGCCAGGGAGCGTGGAAGAGCGGCTAGTATGGCGAACTCGTCGACGACCGAGGGCTCGGCGCAAATGGTGCTCACCAAAGACATTGTCGTGAAGAAGGAGAAGAAAATTCCGAGTTTCTCTGGCGATGCCAAAAAGTTCCAAGAGTGGTACGGACTATTCGAGTCAGCCGTCAGTGATCGTGTCAACAAACTTGATAAGTTCGAGAAACTGAAAAGTTGTCTGTCCGGGAACGCGTTGAAGGCCATCGCTCATCTACAACTGAAGGAGGAACTCTACGACACAGCGCTGTCAATCATCAAGGAAGAATACGGAAGTGTGTTTTCGGCACAGTACGCGTACGCCGCTGATATCATCAAGACCTGCTCAACGAAGAACTTCAGGATCCCAGATAAGTGGCACGTAGTGGTTCCGTCTCTATCACAAAGCATCAAAGCTCTTCAATCTTCTCTCGAGGGTGGTTTCGCTGGGGCCGCGATCATGATTTTGCCAATGGTCTTGGATAACCTACCGAGCTCAGTCAGGGATTCGTTTCTCCGAGTTCACGAGGTGTCGGAGACCGACGAGGCGGTTAAACAGTTGGAAGCTCTCCTCAAGTTTCTAGCAAAGAGAGTAGGATCAGGTTAGCTCCTTCTATCGCTAGGACAAGCTCGGATTCTAATTTTCCGCGCGATAAATTCAGTGCCAAGAGCAAGCCGGGGAACTTCAGCAGAAAAGAAGCCGGGGATAATCACGCGTTCTTTGGGATACAGTCCGCAGGAGATCACTCATGCATCTTCTGTAATCTAAATAATCACTCGTCTGCCAAGTGTAAGAAAGTCTTGACTAACTACGAGAGGGCAGACACCGTGCGGAATGCAAACGCGTGCGCGAAGTGCCTCCGGAGGAATCACACAGCTGCAAAATGCAGGATAAAGACTAAGTGCAAGCACTGCAGCGGTGCGCACCATTCGTTGCTCTGCGTAAAAGAGTGTAGTTCGAACGATGGTCAGACGTCAACGATGATGAATGTCACCGTATTGGCAACCGGAACGGTCGCTCCCGAACCAGAAGGTATCGCCAATGTGACGCACCGGATTTCAAAAAGTTCCAACCTCGCTACTGGCTACGCCAATGTCGTCACGGAGAAGGGATTCCGTCTGCGTAGATTAATGATAGACAGCGGAAGTCAAAGGTCGTACGTAACGAACCGCTTAGCGAAAGCTCTCAAAGCTACAGTGGTCAATAGGGAGCAACTCATCAATCACACGCTCGGTGGACGAGCGTCAGAAGTTAGGGAATATCTGTGTTATAGGATCAATCTCACGAGCAGATTTGCTCCTCAAGAATCCATTCCCGTCGAATGCCTTGGCATTCCAGTGATCACGGACTCAATCTTCCCTCCAGCTGAGCGGCTGGGCGGAATCAGCGAATTCGCAGATCTCGTTGAGGATCCCGAATTCAAGGAGATTGACATCCTCCTCGGCACAGATGACCTGGGTCAAATATGGCTCAACGAGTCGCGGTCGGAGGGACGGCTGATGGCACTGAAACAAGACTCGGTGGTTCGACCTTCGGAGAAAGGCGCCGCTCAGTCCGTTCACCAACGTCGTGTGTGCACTCCAGTCGTCGGCGTCAACTCAACAGCAACAACAGTCACTGAAATCCACCACCGAGGCTCGGGAAAACTCGAAAACAGAACGAGACATTGAGTTCTTGTTCGAGACTGAGCTACTTGGGGTCGAACCGCCAGCAGAAACGAAACTGCAGCAGAGATGCAAGCCTGGATGAGTTGTTCAAGGCAAACATCTCGAGGAACAAAGATGGGAGATATCGACTTAAGCTCATCTTCAACGAAAATCTCCAGTCGCTAGGCGACAATGAAAAGATTGCTATCAACAGATTGAACTCGCTCATTTCGCGGAGTTCCAAAGAAGTTCTCGAGGCGATCGACGAAGAGATGGAGAAATACATCAAGGAGGGCTATGCCGAGCTGGCTCCGAAACGGAAGCCGGGAGAATTCGTGCATTATCTACCACTCCAGGTGGTCAAGAAACCCGACCAAGGGTCACCTAGGGGCTTCAAGTTGAGGATTGTCAAGGATGCAGGTTGTCGTTCGAAGGATCTGGCTTCATTAAACGACGTTCTGATAACAGGATACAACCTACTCCAGAACATTCTCCTCGTGCTCACGAAATTTCGAGAGTCTCCCATTGCCGTCGTGGCGGATGTGGAGAAAGCATATCATCAGTTTGAAATCGATCGATCACACCGAACGTTCCTCAGATACTACTATCGGCCCGGAGTCTCAAGAAACGCCGGAGCTCCTATCAAGGAGTTCTGGTCGAAAAGATTGGATTTCGGGACTTCCGCTAGCCCATGGTTATACCAAGCAGGCCTCAAATTCCATCTGGATGGCGAGAAGACTCGTCGGCCGTCTGAGACTGAGTTCATCAATGAGCTGCAGTTCTCATGTTACATGGATGATTTGAGTTTCGGTAGTGTTAACCAAGAGACAGCATTAACAAAGATACAACGATGCGTCGAAATTTTCCGAAGCGGGCACTTCCCGCTGAAGAAATGGGCTACCAATTCGGAAGAAGTGGCGGAAGGAATGAGGCAAGCGTTCTCCGATGAGACAGTGTCGATTCGGAGCGCCGAACCAGACTTTCGATTCCTGGGGATACGCTGGTGTCAGGTTACGGACGCACTTGGTGTTTTCGTAACCAACGCCAACAGATGTTTCAACGATGCGAAACCGAGCAAGCGTTCGCTGCTCTCAGGGTTGGCTCAAATCTACGATCCTCTCGGAATAATCTGTCCGATTTCGATACATGCCAGAGTGCTGTTTCAAATGATGTGGCAGGACAAAGTTCAATGGGACGATCGTCTCAACGCAAAACATCGTGAGCTCTACGGAGAGTTCGTTCGGCAGCTCAAGTCTGCGGATCGAATCCTCGTTAGCCGAACAAACGCGAGGATCGACAGACTCCCCAGGCGGACAGAAATCCACGCGTTCTCTGATGCGTCGAAAGTCGCTTACGGGGCGGTCATATATCTCAAGGAGTTCTTCCAGGACGGCGATCCGGAAATCAAGTTCCTCATGGCGAAAGCGAAGGTTGCGCCGAACAAGGCCAATTGGAATATCCATCGTTTGGAGCTGATGGCAGCTCTAGTCAGCTGTCGCCTGGTTGAGAAGCTCAGACCGGCACTCGGAAACACAGTCAAAAGGCGGTTTACTGGGTGGATAATAGTGCTGTGGTCGGTTGGACGAGGGACAGGCCATCGGAATGGCGAACTTTCGTCGCCAACAGGATCACCGAGATCCAGAGGTTCTCAACGCCGGATCAGTGGCGCTATGTGGCCACGAAGTCCAACCCGGCTGATTTGCTCAGCAGAGGCAACTCACTGGAGTCGAGGGAAAGTGTCGAGTTCTGGTTGAATGGACCTTCGTGGCTAAAAGAGCAAAAGTTGCCGGACCCGATCCGCATTGGCAAAGAAGAATTCGCGGAGGCAATAGCAGAGGCAAAGCATGGCAACGTCGCAGAAACAGACATCCTGCATGTCACGGCTTTGCCAAAGGTGTCGTCGTCTCTGCTCAAGGAGAAGCACTTTTCATCGTGGCCGAAAGCGGTGAGATCGCTGGCTTACGTCAGGAGGGTTTTCCAGAAAGCTCGCAAGAGGGATTTGTCTATGGACATTCCCGTTCAGGTCGAGGAATATCTTGACGCAGAGAGAGCACTTATAAGGAATCTACAGCAAATGGATTTCCCGACAGAAGTCGCCAGTGGAGGGAGAAAGCTACCGAAAACGAGCAAGCTTTATCTCTACAATCCGATGGTCGATGAACATGGAATCCTACGTTGTAAGTCAGGATTGATCAAGTCCGGTGATCTGTCGTTCGGTGAAAAATATCCGATAATCCTCGATGGGCGGAACTATTTCACGAAGTTGCTCATAGCGTGGATTCACAAATCAAAATGTCTCCATTCACCAGGAATCACCACCAATCTTCATCATATCCGTGCGGAATACCTCATTCTGAGGGAGCGCTTGGTGGGCTGCA